ATCTGTGTATAGATTGTTCTATTTAACTTTTTTCTTTGAGAAATTTCATCACATCTATATAATTATTATATATATGTAGAGTGAACAAACTTAAGACTTTGTAGTTATATAGTTGAGAGATGACAATAATAAATAAAAAACCAAATTTAACACCGTCAAAGATATAATGAAATAAAAATATACTTTTACCCCGGATATTTTTGTAATAACTTATTAGATATGATTGATTTAAAAAGTTATTAATTGAATACAATGTATGTAACAAATAAATTTTTTAAAAAATGAAAATTATATAATTAATAGAAAATGTAAAATATCAATAAGATAGTGTCATTTTTTTTATTTTAATACATTAGTATTCATATTAATACATAATAAATTAATTTATATAAATACATTTAGAATTTAAACCACAATGTAATATCATTTCTCACCTTTTTTTTTTTGGAATATGGCAAAAAGAAAAGGAGCATACAGTTTGCTGTCCTAAGTCTTCACTTACAAGGTCTACTAATGAGGAAGATAGATTTTTACCCTTTCAACTTTGAGTGATTTAAATAATTTAAAAACATTTATTATATAAATTTGGAAGATTAAACCCTAACCTTTCCCTGACCCTCCTTTTCGAACTATCTTACGACGTTCTAAACCCAGTTTACGTACCGTTTTAATGGGCGAACAACCCAACCCTTATAATATATTACAGTCTCAAGTGACAAAAAGTCAATATCGAAGTGTCAAACTTTTTCGTCGATGTGAGTTCTTGAAGAAAATCAGTTTGTTATCCCTAACGTAATTTTTATCTGTTGAGCAACGGCTCTTCCACTTAGTACCGTCAGATCGAATTCTAATTTGTTTTAATTCAAAGAATAGAAATGAAATGCGTAGAAAGACAATTTCACGAATTTTGAATACAACCAAATTTAAACTCATAATTAAAAGAAAAACTATATCGAATCAGATTTGAACGAGTGAAATTATACGAATTCGATACGCAATATCATCCTTAACCTTGTTCACTTCTGTCATATTCCAATACACTCATTCTTTAGAATAATTAAAAAGCAGAGGTTGTTGTTACAATTCTCTTCCAGACATTTCTCAAGATAGGGCAGTCTCTCACAATGTGTAGGAAAATTTCATGCCAATTGACCATATCAACCATTCTTTAGACAAATTTCAGATGATTAGACAAGGTCTTGCTATGATAGAAAAGCCGCCCAAAATGCTTAAATCTTTTTGCCTCTTCATTTTCTAAATCCAAGATGAATCCTTTCTGTTCAATTAGGGTTTTTAAAGCTCATGATAAAATTAGAAATAAAACTGAATTTGTTATAATTTATGCCATTGTTTCCCCATATGAGCTTGATACTTGAAAAAGAACCTAATGACATTAAGGTTGGACAATGAGATAACTTCAAATTATCTTGAATTTTACTATAAATAAACTGTATTTACCTGAGAAAAGTTGGTCAGATCCAATTTAAGAGACTTTATGAGAATGCTTGATCCTCAAAGATTTGGCATATCGACTTTCCGACCTGTGATGAGACATTATATGGGATAATTCAAGATAACGAAGAACAATTCCAAGTTAGCGATCAAGGTCTTCCGTAGGAGACACATTAGAAATCATGTTCAGTTTCCTACAATTACTGAGGTTCATATTAGGTGACATTATGAGTATAGACAAAAAAAACTCCATGGTGTACAATCTTTGCCTGCTTCTTGGAGGGTTCTCAAAAAGAAGAAGAAAAGGATTTTCTACCTCTTCCCGTGAAAGTATAATAGAGAAGTAGGTAGTATTCACACAAGTTATGATAAGCAAAATGAATGAAGACCAAAAGTTGAGTACAAAATTGTCAAAAAATCCACAAAATATAGAGCTGTTTTCACTTTAAAGAATGAACAATACCAAATGTTAAATCAAACCATCGTAATAATACTAATATATACAATCTTACTGTTATATTTCAGTAATATTTTATATCAAAATCTTTTCGTTTTCAAAAAATCGTACATATAAGACAGTATGTATGTTACAGCGACTGAGATTCACAGCAAATCATCCTATTGATTTCCTATAAACCATCATTTACGC